TGAACCTCCTTGGGGGAGACCTATGTTTAGCAGTGGACTTGTGAAGGGTTGTAATGAATGAAAAAAATGAATAAACCTCATATTATGTCTTCAAAATATTTTACGTATAAGTTTTCTGTCGACTTCCGAAAAGAAGACGGTACTCAATTCTACTATATGTTTTTTTTTTCATGTGTGTTACCTCATAACTTTTTACTGGGTGAACCGATTTCGATGATTCTTTCTTATATGAAAGCTGATACTTCTCGTGTGGTCCTAATTATTAATCAAGGTCGGACCAATAGTTTTTGAGTTATTCTTAACAACTTATATTGAAGTCAGCTGTACAAAATTTTTATTTTAAATTATGTAGACTTAACAACGAGGTATACCTTCACCATTTGATGCTGGATAGGATCAAACTACGTCGAGGTTGTTCGCGTTCTAAGGAATTTATGGCGAGCACTTTAAACCTGTAATGTTTATAAACAGTATATATATATATATATATATATATATATATATATATATATATATGTTTATTATTTGACGGCTTCGTGGCGCAGTGGCTTAGCCTTACATGAAAATAACAAATGATGGGAAGTGGATGCGTTGGTTTATCTACATTTTATCCTCAATAAAAAATCAAAATACAGATGCGTTTTAACATCTGAGCTGACAGATGGAATGCCTTGTTTCTAATAAAAAGGGTTTCCGGTTCTCTACACTCATCAGCATTAGGCTTCAGTATTACGCTGGTACTCTACCACGCTCTACCACGTATAAAATAGATTTGATCAATGTATGTCCTTATTTGTAACATAAAAATCTTATTCATGAATAAGTTTAAATTCTCGCTCCTTTCTACCAACGGACAACCTCGACACGGGTTTACTTCTTTGTTTACACTTTTGTATTGCGTAGAGCAAAGAAATGGAATGGAGCAAAGAAATGGAATAATTAACCGGCGTCTGGCTTTCTGTCCGATAAAAATTTGGATGTCTACAAGATAAAAGAGAATAGGTTTTAGTTAGGCTAAGACATTACTATTTACTTTCTACGGTTCTTGGCTTTATCAACGTTTCCAATAAGGAGGAATTAAAGTCAAGCACAAGCTTATAATAAGTAAAAACTACTAATAGTAAATTACTATCTTTAATTGTGTTTTTCTTTAATTATGTTCTTTAATTATGTTTTTGTCTAATTTAATAATGAAATCTCCCTCTCACTTTTTCTTATCTTGCCATGAAAGAAATATTATTTTATTTTAAATGACTCTTCATTTTAATAGGGGCTAGTAATTCATGTATTTGTATTTAGTAATCAATAATATAATGCGTTTATCAATAATATAATACGTTTATCAATAATAATATACTACGAAAGGAACATCCTTCCAACCGAGTGTTCCACGACACTCGCCTGTTTTTGTTCGTGTTTTTACGAGTTTTTTTCTATAAGGGAGGCTTATGTTTACCAGTGGACTTTTATAGGCTGTAATGGATGGATGGTTAGATGTGCTAGCACAGGTGCGTTCTCTATCCCCTCGTCCTCTGAGTATGATGAGATAGTACACGACCAGAGAGATCAGGTGCAGGACCACCGGATTTACATGATTTCTGGGGCACGTGGGTGAAACACCTTCAACTTCCTGACTCCAGACTTCTACTGAGAATTTATTGACCGAAAAACCCACTAACGGATTTTAGCCTGACCCAGGATTCAATCCCTCGTCATCAGAAATCGGTTTACGATCACTAGACCAACGAGGCCGAACATTACAATGAAAACAAAACTTTGATTGTTCTTTTAGAGCTACTGCTTGCATATGCTATTTTTATCGGGCGCCAATTCGTGTTTGCGATGCGAGTTTTATAGACAAGTCCCGCTGTCTGTTCCGCGTGGCTACACGCACATGCCTCGCAAAAATAACATTAAATTGTATTTTGTGGTGAGAAAGCAGCGTCCTTTGATATTCACAGAACTCTTTGCAACTCAGACTTGGCAGGAAACATGAATTTGAACATTCGAATATGATCGGGTTTAAAGATCGAACGCCGCGTTGGACATACGTGAATTATTAACAGAATCATGCGTTATTTTTCGAAAATCCATTATATTAAAGTAAACATTAATTAGTTTAGATCCACACAATAAAATAACATTATGTGTTACCTAGTTTTAATAACACCTCCCGCCCTTTCTCAAATTTCTGCACCATTCCCGTTACCAGTAATTATGTTGGGATTAGTGTTCGCCGATCTAAGGTAATTAATTTTAAACATTTTTGACATACGTGTATCATTAGGCAATCTCAATATATCACAACAGTAAAAACTAGGTAATTTTTAACATCTGAATCATTTGACAATTTTGATATATTAATTGTTTAGGCAAAATATTAACCATTTGAAATTGTATTATTAACGCACGCTAATGGCCTAGCATCGTATCGAGGTCACATCCCCCCCCCCCCCGCGCTGATGATTCCATTCGAGCGGTGTCGACGGGACACGTCTAGGCAATTCATTATAAAAATCGGTCGATCGTAGCGTTCGTTTTTGTTTTTTCTGTTAAATTTGCCGCGTCGCGAACGGAGGTGAACTTTGTCCCACTGTCGTCGGACGCGCCACGTGTTGGTTCTTGACTGTGATCAACGGATTTAGTTCCTTTTTTGTGAAGCTAGTTGAATGTGAATAGACTGACCTAGTGCCTTGAAGAGGGAAATTGCCACCGGGGACGCCGCAGGAGAATACCGCCTCCGGGGAAGCATCGTGCTGTCTGGTTCAGGCCACCTACACAAAGACACTCACCCAACACTCACATGCACTACACCTTCAGCCTGACAGATCCAGGTCACTAGTCTCCGCTCCCGAAGCAGGTAAATACCGTATTAGTTAAATACTCTCTATTCGGCTAGCCTTCCCTTTAAAGCTTAGTAGGATAGAACATTCCACCAGGCCATTCGGCCCGTCCTTAATTATTCAAAGAGTCTAAAGCTCTGGGCCCTTGTGGGATCGTACTTTGTCGGGACAGTTAGGGGCGTGTACAAGCTGGTAGCAGGAGCGTGGCTGATTGAATTCCAATCACGCCACGGCCGTAATATTAATATATATATAAATATTTTTTTTGTTCTTGGCTAGGTACTTACCGTAGTTTGTTGAGGCTAGGTACTTGACTAGGTAGATAAGGCTATCACATGTAATCGGATAATTATCGTTGGCGTATAATTATAGTAGATTAATTGTCGAAGGGTCGGCTGTTTGAGCGAGGCATTTTGCTGATTAATTGTAGTGTAACTTGTATTTAATTTAATAAATAGTAAGTCGTATTTGTATTTAACTGGATTTCATAGTAATTGTATTTGCTATTTGTTAATTTGTTTTGTGTTTGATTTATGTTGTCCGCCTGCAGGCGGAATGCGTTGGGCCGCGACCGCCCATATTTTGATAGGTCGACCTGATCGGGTTCATAGTTTAGGGAAGCGGCTCGAGCAGATCGATGTCCGATGGGCTGTAGTGGAGGAGGCTTGCACAGAGCTTTTGGCGTCGGATGCGGAACAGGAAGTCCTAAACTCCTACCTCGCGGACTACGAGAAATTTTTTGCGTTCACGGACGATTTGATCGAGGCGGGGGCCAAGGATGCGGCGGAAGCGCGTGAAGCTAGACTGAGGTGCCTGTCCGAGTCTCCTCGGAAGCAGCCTACTTAGCCGGAGCTGTTAAGACGACTCCCGACTCTGGACCTGCCAAGGTTCTCCGGGGTCCTTACCGAATGGCTGACGTTCGTCGGTCTCTTTGACAGCCTGGTGGACGCCCGGAGGAACTTGACGCCCAGCCAGAAAATGGGGTACCTCCTAGCCTCATTGGAGAAGGAGGCCCTGGGCGTCATCGGTCACCTGAAATTGTCGGACGATGCCTACCAGAATGCTCGGGACCTCCTCACCGGAAGGTACGCCAACGTCCGCCGGATTGCGGATGACTACGTGCGGAAGTTGCTAAGCCTCCCGCTGCTGAAGGATCGGACCAGACTACGCACGGACATCGTGAATCCAGTCGTGGTGGCTTGCAACTCGTTGAGGCGGCTGGATTTACCAATGGACGAATGGTCTTTTCACATTGAAAATGGTGTGGGCAACACCTTCTCTCTCTCACACACACACACACACTGGAAGTACTAAGTTAAGTAAATGAAAGTGTGCACTTAATAAAATTCGTGAATTTATTAATTTCACGTTTCAAATAATATATCAAATTATTATTGTAACCTAATAATATAAGTAACCAGAAAAATTAAATACAACAATATACAAAAAGAATTTATCTATTCGAACAGGTAGTTCCAGAGATTACGGTGTTTAAACAAACGAAAACACTCTTCCGCTTTATTATATTTAGTATAGATTCTATCTCATTCTCTCCTAGGCCTATCCTATAGATTTATTTTAAAAATAACCCTTTTTAGTATCGCTTTTTCGTTTCATTGCGTTATATTTATATATATTGTTTGCATATTAACCGGGTTTTTTTTACCTATGCATTGGCCGGAGACTAATAGTATTGTCAAAGATCCAAGTTAAAGGTAATAAAGGTCAGCTCTATATAATGAAACTATTTAGATATAACAGACAAACACTACACTTTTAATTTTATGTAAGTACAGATGTACATAATAATAATAAATAATAACAATATACTATACTACATCCGGACGTGGTGTCGAATACTTTGAAACAAACAACATGTTATTGTGTCCTATGCCAAAATACTAAGAGTAAGCGGCAATAAATATTGTTATAAACTTGGCATTGATACAACGAGTGCGTTTAAAGTAAGTGCACGAACATTATCTCGTGCCAGTAGACGGTGCGAATCAGACCATAATGTAATTTAATGGATAAACTTGAAACGGGTCAATTGTTTGCAGATTTTTATGATTTTCCTGTTCTAAAATATGAAATTCTATATATAATCTTAATTTTCTTGTATATGCTGCCGTTCTACTAGTTCGTAACCTAAAACACATGTTTCAGCTTCGTCACCAAGAAATTCCCGTTACAAGGATCACTGCATGTACCGACAGTAGTGCTGTTTTAGCTTGGCTAAATACTCCACCCTACAAGCTTAAAACTTATGCGTCACGTCGTGTAGCAAAAATCACAGATAAAGTAAGTGTCGAAAACTGGCACCACATCTCAACTCATGAAAATTCTGCCGATCTATGCAGTCGAGGCTTGAGTTGTTCGCAAATATTTAAAAATACGACCTGGTAGTCCGGCCCGACGTGGTTGACTGCAGATCCTGCGACATGGTCCTTTCAAAAACCCTTAGAGCTAGACATAATGTTATTTATAGGATGAGGGTGACAAACGAGCACACAGTCCACCTGATGGTAAGTGGTTGCTGTGGCCAATAGACATCTACACCTACCTTCGATTACGAATGAATATGCAGATGCGTTGTCACCCGTGAGGACTAAGAAGGAATGCCTCATTTCCAGTGAAAAGGGTCTCCGGTTCTCTACACTCACCATACGAAACACAGCAGCGTTAAGCTGCTATTTGACGCTGGTATTCTGTAAGAGCGTGGTTCTTCCCCGGTCGGCCGACCCATTCGTGCTACAACCATAATATAGCTGCAGCATGGCTCTACTACGTAATTCCGGAATTAAAGCCTGCAGCCCATTGCTCGCATCCCAGTACAAACTGTAAACTTACACTCAGATACTGGACAAACATTCATCGCTGTTTAGCGTGTTTTGGCACAGTGCTTGCGATTTGCAAAAAATTCTAAAACTACTAGGCAGCGTATCAATTCGGGGTTAACTCTTGAGGAACAAGAATAACTAGACTATACTATTGGAGAACTGTATTTCACAATCTAATAAAATATGAACAATTATTATAATTTTAAGTAGAGATGACATTAACTAAAAGTCAGCAAGAAAAGTTGTCAACGTGCTACATAAAAATTAAATACTTTTATAGACGAAACTGGTCTTTTGAAAGTAGGAGGATGGTTAAAGAATTCTCTTCTAACTCAAACTACAAAAAATCCACTACTAACTCTCTTGTGCAAAGAAATTTTTGAATCTCCGTATCAATAATTTATTCCGGTCTCGCTTTTCAAAGTGTGTTACATGCTATAAAGTGAGCCCAAAACCTTGTCATCCTGTAATGGGTAATTTGCCATCGCTAAGAGTTAAACCATCGAGATTTTTTCAAAATATTGGAATAGACTTTGCAGCTTTGTCTTAGCGTAACAAAAGTTGGCGGCACGTCATCCCCGCCTGTTTGCGCCTGTCGAATGACTATTCCATCGGATTATAAGAGTGAAGGAGTATAATGGAATATAAGAGAATGATATAGACTACAATAGAATAATATTTAAATCTTTTACTACATAATACCTGATAAAAGTATTTTTTTTAATTTAACTTTTCAGAAAATACCTCTCTCCTGGGAAGAACCAGCAAGATACCCAGCGGGAATAAATAATATATAACGAATAAAATTACTTTTACGGATTCTATCGCGTTTAATTAACTTATTTTTATTAAATTAATCACCTCAGTCTCCCGTCGACCATGGGTAAAACACCCGAAACGTAGGGAATTTGATATAAATAAGTTAACTAAACGCGATAGAATCCGTAAAAGAACTTTTATTCAATGTGCAGTGTTCGCGTAAATATCAGAAATCATAATTTGACTAAGATATACAACAATAAACTAACACTTTTAATATTGTACCAATTGACATAATATACTTAATATCCTCTCATGTAATTGAATAGACATATAATTGTTAATCTACTGTAATGTGTTTTGAATATTGTACGTGGTAAAGACATGCTGCACCTATATTAGTAGTATAGTTATAGCATGAATGGGTCGGCTCGAACAGGAAAGGACCGCGCTCTCACAGAATACCAGCGTAAAATAGCAGCTTAACACTGCTGTGTTTTGTATGGTGAGTGTAGAGAACCGGAGAACCTTTTTACTGGAAAAGAGGCATTTCATCTTGTCTTGGTACTCACGGGTGACAGCGCATCTGCATTTTGATTCGTAATCAGAGATAGATGTTGATGTCTATGGGCCACAGCAACCAGTTACCATCAGGTGGACTGTGTGCTCGTTTGTGACCCTTATTCAATAAAAAGAAAATATATAACATTTCAATAATTTTTTATATTTTATATTATGAATTCGTTACATTGCGGAAATCCATCATAATGGGGTTGTTATAAACGAATTTGCTTAATTCCGCTAAGACAAGCGGCCAGCCTCCGCAGAGTCTACTTCACCTGAGGATGCCTCGTGTAGAGGCGAAACACGTGTTGTATTTTCGAGACTGGTGTGTCGTGTCTAGTGTGGTGGTGCTTGGAATGGTAGTGCTGGGATTGCGGCGACGACTATAGTGCGCACGATTGAGGGAGGCTGGGAGGTCCCCTTAAAACTGGGCAGGACACATAATTTTCTTTCTTTACGCGGAATTATGTAAATTAGTTTATAACAACCCCATTATGAATTTTAATCGAACCAGCATAGTGGTGATATCCTCTTTCCAGGGGCGGGAATCAGGCGAAGAAACAGATGCGACTGGCGGCTCCGAGGTGGAGCGTAAGGCCAGATTCGTAAAGGAGGTGGAGGCCGCGATCAAGGTCGTGGCCAACAAGCAAAAGTCCTCCTCGAAAGTCAAGGCCATTCCCGCGGCCTCCGCCTTCATCATGGCGGCTGCGGAGGCCAACTTTGCTGGGGCTGGGCCTAATGCGGACGAGGTGGTGAAGCTGCGGGCGGACGTGGCCCGCCTGACGTCCGCTATGGAGACTCTCCAGAAGGAGAATGAGAAGCTCCGCGCAGACCTGGTCAGTCTACATGAGCCTGCCTCTCGCGCGGCGCCCCAGACGCAGCGCCCAAGCCAGCCTGTGCCAGTGGAGAACCAGGTTCTGAACCGGCAGGAGCTGGCTGCCTTCCAGCATCGGTTCTCCGTGCTGGAGGGCATCGTCCTGCGCTCCCCCCTAGGGGCAAACAAGACGGCGGCGAGGCCGGCAACGGCTTCTTACGCGACGGTCACGGCTGCCGCATCCAGGCCGGAGCCGTCCAGCCAGCCCTCGGGTGGGGCTGCAGTTGCTCCTCCCCCCCCTGAAAAGCCGGCTCCGGCAAAACCGATACCGGCTGAACCGGCTCCGGCTAAGCCGGCGACGGGAAAGAGAGGCATGGCGAAGGCGAAAAAGGGCAAGGCGGCAGCACAGGTGATGGCTGCGCCAGCCCCAGTGCCTGCGGCGAATGGGCCAGCGCCAGCAGCAAGCCAGCTGCCGCCGCCGCCACCGCCCCTCCAGCTCCCTACACCTCCCGCGGCAGAAGCCGTTTGGCAGGTGGTCGGGGACAAACAGAACGGGAAGAAGGCAGCCAAAAAGACCAAAGAGCAGGAGCGGCAGCGCCAGTTCAGGGCGCGCAAGATCGCGGCTAGGCTCCGCGCCCCGAAGACCGCAGCTGTAGTGATTACACTACAGCCGGACGCGGAAAAGAAGGGCGTTACATACCGCGATCTGCTCGCGAAGGCGAAAGAGGCGGTGGATCACGGGGAGCTCGGGATCACTGGGGGCCTCCGGCTCAAAGTCACCCAGACGGGGGCCCGTATGCTGGAGATCCCCGGGGAATCCAGTGGCGCGACTGCGGACGCTCTTGCTGCGAAGCTCAGAGCGTCCCTGAACGCGGACGAGGCCCGAGTGTCCAGGCCCGTCAGATGCGCAGACCTGCGCATCATGGGTCTGGACGACTCGGTATCGGAGGAGGAGTTGGTGTCCGCCGTCGCGAGGTCCGGGGGGTGCACCACTGACCAGGTCAGGTCAGGCGCCATACGCCCGGATCAACAGGGTATGCATGCCGCCACGGTGTGCTGCCCTGTTACGGCGGCCAAAACCATAGTGGAGGGCCGAAGGCTTCTGGTAGGCTGGGTCTCAGCGCAGGTTAAGCTGCTGGAGCCCAGACCTCTGAGGTGCTACCGCTGTCTCGTGGGGCATCACGTATCAGTGAAATGCGCCTCGCAGGTTGACCGCAGTGGCCTCTGCTTCCGCTGCTGTCAGCCCGGATACATATCGGCAACCTGCTGCGCCACGCCGCACTGTGATGCATGTGCGGCGACCGGTAAGCCAGACGATCACTGGGCCGGAAGCAGGGCCTGGGGAGGGCCCTCCTCCGCCGCCACCGCCTCTATGGCCACCGCCGCAGCTGCAACTGCCGCCGCCGCCGCTGTCACTGTCGCTGCCGCCGGCGCCGCGACACCGACGTCTGCAGAGGGGCGCCCCGTGGAGGAAGCTGAAATGGAATGCCTATAACGAGCTTCCTCCAGGCGAATATCAACCACTGCGCCTGCGCTCAGGATCTGTTGCTCTAGAGCATGGCGCAGTGGTCGATTAACATCGCTGTGGTCGCTGAGCCGTATTTTGTCTGGCCTAGGAAGGACTGGGTGGCGGACCTTAACGGCTCAGTGGCCATCATCTCTTCGACCGCTGCCGGTACCCCGACCCTTGAAGGTGTCAGGAGGGGTCAGGGGTGCGTAGCAGCACGGTTCGGGGAGTTCGTGGTTGTGGGGGTGTACTTCTCCCCGAACCGATCTCTCGCCGAGCTACACAACTCTGTTGCAGAGCTGAGAGCAGTCGTCGTAGGAAGCTATCCCCTCCCCGTGCTTGTCCTCGGGGACTTCAATGCCAAGAACTTGGCTTGGGGTTCTCGTCGTACAGATGTGCGGGGTAGGATGGTGGAAGACTGGGCTCTGGAGACAGGCCTGGTCGTCCTAAATCGGGGTTCTGTCCCCACGTGTGTGCGGATGCGGGGCGAGTCGGTGGTGGACATTTCGTTCGCTAGCCCCGCTCTGTCGCCGCGTGCCATTGACTGGCGAGTCATGGAGGGGGTGGAGACTTACTCCGACCACCGGTACATCCGGTTTGACGTCTCCACCCAGCCCTCGAGCGCGCCAGTCCAACAGGCCCCGAGTGGTCCGCGTTGAACGCTGAAGCAGCTGGACCGGGAGCTCCTCCTGGAAGCCTCGATCGTGCAGGCCTGGGTGTCATCACCGGATAGGCCTGCTGACGTCAATGATGAGGCAGGGTGGTTCCAGGATGCCATGTCCGAGATATGTGACGTGGCAATGCCCCGCGTCCGGCCAGGAAGCGCCCGGCGCCAGGTGTATTGGTGGTCGCGTGAGCTGACGTCTCTGTGCGAGGCGTGTGTCGCCGCGCGGTACCTGTACGCCAGGCATCGCAGGCTCCGCATTCGTCCACCGAATGCGGCAGCCATTGAGGCGGAGCTGTACGAGGGATACAGAGCGGCGAAGACCGCCCTCCGGGAGGCTGTCATGCGGGCCCGGGATCGGGCCCGTGAGGAGATGCTGGAGACTCTCGACAGAGATCCGTGGGGGCGCCCTTACAAGATGGTGCGGGATAAACTCCGCACCTGGGCTCCCCCGCTGACGCAGAGTCTCCGGCCTCAGCTCGTGGAGGACGTGGTGAGCGCTCTGTTTCCTGCGCGAGGGGAACATCCGCCCCCGCCTATGGCTCCGCCACCTGCGGTGCCGGAAGCGGACCACCAGGACGACGACGACGGCATCCCGGAAGGGACCGGGGTAGACCTGAGAGTGGCGGTACGTAGGCTCAAGGCCAGGAATACCGCTCCAGGACCCGATGGCTTGCCTGGCAAAGCCTGGGTCCTGGCCTCGGAGGCTCTCGGGCCCCGACTGGAGGGGCTCCTAAGCGCATGCTTGGAGAGAGGCCAATTCCCGCTTCGTTGGAAGACGGGGAAGCTGGTCCTCATTCGGAAGCCGGGGCGCCCTGCGGACTCTCCATCCACATACCGGCCCGTGGTGCTGCTCGACGAGGTGGACAAGCTCTTTGAAAGAGTCATTGCAAACCGCCTCGCCGAGCACCTTGCGGGGACGGGGCCGAATCTTGCGGAACACCAGTTTGGTTTCCGCAAGAGGCGCTCTACGGTAGACGCCATCATCCGCGTAAGAGCCCTCACGACGGGGGATGCAGTGGCTAGGGGGAGGGGGGGTTGTTTTGGCGGTGTCTCTCGACATCGCCAACGCCTTCAACTTCATGCCCTGGAGCTGCATTAGGGAGGCACTCCGGTATCACCGGGTGCCGACCTATCTCCGTCGTATAGTCGGGGACTATCTGACGGATAGGGCCGTCATCTACCCCGGTCGCAACGGTGAGTGGAACCGGCGAGAGATGTCGTGCGGTGTCCCACAAGGTTCGGTTCTGGGGCCGCCCCTGTGGAACATCGGTTACGACTGGGTGCTGCGCGCCGACCTCCCTACCGGCGTCAGCGTAGTTTGCTACGCTGACGACACGCTGGTACTGGCACAGGGGGGGTCGTACGAGGCGGCGGCAGAAAATATGACACGCGGGGTTGCGATAGTCATTGAGAGGATCCGGAAGCTGGGTCTTGAGGTGGCTCTGCACAAGTCCGAGGCCATGCACTTCCATGGTCCTCGGAACAG